CAAATAAATAAAAACGAATAAAAAAAGCTAAAAATCCAATAAAACTAAATGAATTATACGTTTAAAGGCTTAATAAATAACGCAATCGTATACGGACTCCAACGCAAATACAAACACAAACAACAATCACTACTTACCATTCAAAATTGAACACTCACCACTGAACATCCAACACCGCACACTGAACACACAACACCGAACACTGAACATACGCACGCACAAACGCACATGTAGCCGCGAACGCACAGCCACAGAAGCCCGTTTTAAATGGAGTCCAACTCATCTGCTACGCCGTCAGCACTTATACAGTAGTCAGTTTCCATTACCGCAACCGAAGCTGCGACCATAAAATATCAATTTCGACGTAGCGAAGTGCGAATATTTATTGAATTGACCGAAAAAGCCCAGAGGTGGAAATATGAAAAATAGAGCCCGTCAAAGAAGAGCGCATAAAAAATGATAACAATACGAGCAAAGTAGTCCGTCACTCACCGCTGTTACCTACTGCCGGCGCTGCTACTGTTGCTACTTGGTTGCATTTCGTGCGTTTGTTTTATTCCCTGACCTCGCATCTCTTCATGGCATCACCTGTCATGGACTTTTTATGTCAACGTCTATACCGGTAGGGTGCGGTGAGCTGCACTTCAATTATTATTGTATGTTTATTTTTAATGTTTTTATTTTGCCACGGAAACTGAGTAAAACTTTATTGAATATCAAAATAATAATTTTTTATTTCTGGTTAAGTTTCCTTCTTGGTTAAGCACTGCGGATAGTTCATGCTCGTTTTTGGTCGCTTTCACAAGTTCTTTAAATTTTTTACAGTAAATATGGTTTACCTGACCACGTACATTCTTGCTTGAGAAATCATTTATCACCTTCAAAGAAAGGACATAATTCTTCCATGGCAGTACCACACTTTTACCTATTCTTAATGACGAGAAAAAATATATAGGCATTTCTATGCACTTCTAATTTTAAAATTCGTGATAAACAGTCACTATAATGACACTATGTATAATAACACAAAAAAGTCACATTATAATTGCAATCTGCTTAGTAATTGAATTCGAATTCAGTCTTATCATAGGAATTCACCTACTGGTCAACAGATCATGAAAGATACACGAACTTAATAGTGTAGCGGTACCTATGATTCATGTCTAATCACAGACAGTCAATTCAAAATTAACGCAATCACTCACGATTAGCTGTCACCTAGAGGGAAGAGTTTGAAGAAAGCAACATAATAACAATTCAAGGAAGATCTGAAAGTGTTTCTTCCGAAAATGATATATGACATCGTACATGTTACATGTCCAAAGTGTCTCATTTTATAATAAGATACTATAAAATAGACTCCAAATAATATATGATTAAGCAATCAATTTATATTTTATGTATTGATTAATGTTAACTTTAAACAATACCTTTAAAGATGATCTGAAATCGATTCTGCCGATGTATAATCCCGTCTTAATTGTCCAGCGATATTTTGGAATCAGTGTCTGTCAATCCAATGAACAATTATAAATTCGGATATAGGATTTTATGCGATAAGCATTACCACAGTGTGATATATTATATTGTAATGTAGCATCATACTATAATGATGTGCTATGTTACAGCATGATACAATATGTTGCAGTATGATATAATATGTTGTAGAGGTTATTCGAGAAGTACATATAGTATGATATACTGTTCTTCTTGTATTACAGTACAATACAATATGGTCAACAATAAGAATTACATAGATGAGTGATGTAAGAAGTGTGATGTCAAAATGTGATAAAATTTAATATTTTCTCAGTTCTGTTTCGATACTGTGTTACACAAGTTAAACAAGAAATTGTGAAACTATTTTCATCATAAAGTCATTCCTTTTTTTTTTGCAGTAGATTGAAAGCACGAAAGCCACAGTGTGAGACTTGCACCCACTAAAACTACCTCTTAGGAATGAATGGAGAAGATTTCCGCAGTATTGAGGAAACTTTATTCCAGTAATCGGGGGAGAGAGTCTTCCAATTTAAAATCTTTTTATATGGAGAGAGTCTTCCAATTTAAAATCTTTTTATATGTACCGGCTTCAAGCACACAATAACCGATGGTATAATATGAATATTGTGTTATTGATTGATAGTCTCTCTCATTTATCCTGCAATAATTTCGAATAATACAACACATATAGTTTAAAGAAAAATAATTAATAATAACCAATTGTGGACATTCGATTAAAAAACACGAAACCAAAAAAGTATTCTACCCGCTTCATTCAACATATTCCTTTCTAATGTTATACTTATAGAGTATCAACTAATTTAAAAAAAAAAAACATTATTTAAATTTCCATTAATTTATTTATGATTTACAGTGAGAAAAATGACATGGAAGTAAAATCTCATTTCTATAGAGTTTACTGAATTTTAATGAGATGTTATTTGTATATTTTTATCAGGACATAATTACATTTTACAGACTCGAACAGCTGAGGGAACGTCACTGAAGTTAAATTAAAACATTTTCATTTGATTGATGAACCAATACCAGCTCTGGACTACGGAGGTGAGCAGAATTTCAATCAGCATCCGCAGACCAAAAGTCAATACAACGCACAGGACGCATATTGTCTGTAAAATCTGGAAATGAAAAGTATTTCTCTTCTTACTTTCGTTTACATTTCTCTTTGATTTCCTTTTCAAAGATTTACTTCTGCATCGCCCCCTCTTCGTTAATTTATATCTTATTATGCCAAAAAATATTTTGTATAATTGCAATCGCAATTAGAAGTATTTTTGATTCTAATTGGACACTCGCAAGCTAAAGGACGTGACAGTTTAAAGGAAATATCATTTTTAAAGTAATTTTACTTGAATGTCCAATTTCAATAATCACAGAAAAATGAAATATGTGACAATGAAATATCTGTAGGACAATGAGTTTCTCTGACTGCAATATTATTTTAAATTAAATTTTGTACTAATTTAGTGTGGGCCTATGAAATAGACGTAATATTCTAGTGTAGAAATATTCCACTTGCTTCAGTCGTACTGATTCCTTCTGTGCTATGTAACAGGCTTGCTGTAACAATTGAAAGATGGAATTAAGAATAGCACAGGAAAAATACTCCTTCCCAATTACTTCGAAACGCCAGCAGTGAAATATCCTAAGGAACGAAAAAGGCAACCATAGTCGTCCTTCTACGATAGGGGAGCAAACACAAAAAATATCTTAAAAAATGGGCCAGAACAAAATGGCGTCATTAAGAAGGCGATTATCATTTCATTTACGGTGCTTATGCTTATTATTATGATAATTGTTGCGAAAAATGAAAAGCGTAGGAGAGGCAGAAAAATAATCAAGCCTCCTGGTTATTATTAAAATAATAGGAAAATAAAATTAAAATTTTTATAATACAAATTCGTTTAACTATTTACTGCATTCAATTTGTTTATATATATTCATCGAAAGACATCTTTTTTTTAAGAAAATCAGTAGCACATGATGTTTTTATGAAAGATAAAAAAATCAAAAACAATATTTATGACAGACTACACTCAAGATTGATCCCATCAAAAAATACATAAAGGATAGAGCCCGGAGAGGTATGCAGATCTGAGGTCGATTATTGCTTAGTCTGATGATGTGATAAAGAATAATCCAGTCAAGGCGTAAAGACGGGTTTTAAAAATACCTCGCGTTAAGAAAGAGTAAAAATGCTCAAGTGCACTGGCTCAAATAGCTTCAACATAATCAACTAGTTTACACCCAAAAATTAACAAAGACGAGATCATTGTTTTTTATAGCGAAATTTTCCGTAGAATTAGAAAATCAAAACGAATGTTTTTTCCGAAAACGGTACTTTCGAGTTATTTGCGAAAAACCATTATTTTGATTTTTTCGCAAAATATCACCCTGCATACACCCCCACAACTTTTTTTTTTTATTAAAGTTACTGTATATAGTGTTGTATAACAAATGAAAGCTGAAACTTGTACGGATATTTTAAGCTATATATGGTTAATATGACTTAAAGGGTTTAGCTGCTATATTTAAAAATGTACAGATGAAAAACTTCTTTTTTCTTTTTGTTCAATTTTTTTGATTTTAAATGTGATTGTTGTTAAAGTCTGTTTCAATATAAACGTTATGAGTGACTAAAAATAAAAATCGAATAAATATTGCCAAATTTTTCAACATTTTCCAAATTTACCCATAATAGTGGTTTTTATGAACAAGTCAAACCAATACAGAAAAATCATTTCTTCCAAATTATTTTGTAAAATTTGGAGTGCAAATCAAAACTGCATTATTGAATAATGTGGATCTCTTTCACTATCCAAGAAACTGATAACTGATTGCTTATACAAACTCCATGCTTTCAACTCTTCTGTATCCAGTAGTATTGCAATAGTTAATAGTGTAATTAAAAGTGTTATATTTGATAAACAATACTATATACAGTAACTTCACCAAAAAAAGTTATGGGGGCGTATGTAGGGTAATATTTCACAAAAAATCAAAATAACAGTCTTTCGCAGTACAGTACAGAAAATTTCACTATAAAAAATATAGATCTCGTCTTTGGAAAATAAAATTTTTAATTATTTGTGAACTAGTGTTATAGTATATAGGCAAATAGGTGAAATTGTTAAGTTGAAAGTTTTCTCTTAGTCGTATAATTTCCAAAATATTTCATAAATAACCTTGCTTTTTCTATATAATGAATTCTAAAAATCTATGACTACTATTCTAATGTACCTACGTAGGTTTTCGGTTTAACTAGCATTAACAGTCAATCGGTAAAATTTCAGGTGTCAATAATTTAAAACTTTAACCGAAAACAATTTTTATTTCTATAAATCAAACAGAATTTTGCATTTTCTAACACTAAAACTTTTATTCCTGTTTATTATTTACAATTAATTTATTTAATATTTGAAGTTCATCATGCATTTGAGACATAAAGCCTCTTTTCACGTCTTCAACTTTTGTGATGTTTATCTAGGTTCCAATGTTTCAATGACCAATGTTATGATTGTAATGTTGTCCGCATGTGATTCAATATCAACCCATGGCTGGTAAATTTGTCTAAGAAGAACTTTTGAAGACAGTGATTTATGTCCACTCTTTACTGTATTTTGTACAACATTAACAGCACCTACACTATTTATTCTATTCCAAAGTCCATCAGATCCCATGATAATAAAGGAATCAGTATATTTATTTACCTCCTCAATGGTTAGATCTGGTACTGGACTAACAATATACTCTTTACTTAGTCTCGAATAACTCCATAAGTCGCCGAGTGCTCGTGCCACTGCTATTAGTGGCGTTTCTACAATAGCTCTGCGTGTCACATTGTTCACGCTAATGAGAGATTCACGTTTGAATAAGATGCGTGGAACGCCATCATATACGATAACCTTTCCACCTCCTCTCTCGATACGCGTTTTTTCTGAAGGTTTATCTGGCGTGTGATCAACTGTTAGTCTTTTACTCAACCAACGCAATTTGGTGGTGTCATAGTACCCCATTACCAAAGAAGAGTCTCCAACGTGTGCTATGTAAACTTTTTTATTATGAACAAATAACACAGAAGCTGTTGTGCCAGCTCTGCATCGAAAACCATTTTGTGTTGGCCAGCTGGAACGTGCCATCGACATTTCTGACTGCAACCTCAGGAAGCCATCTCTAATCGCACGAAGTACATCAATATCTTTGGGTGACCAAAAATATGGCAAACCGACTATAAGCTTGAGCAAATGTTCCTTGGCAAATTTAGCTGCTTCCGGACCTGAATGCCCATCAAAAATAGCCAAGTAAAGGTATTTTAATCCTTTTCCGTCTTCTGTTTTTTGATAAGAAATTCTATAGAAATCTTCCATTGACTCTCGATCACCTTGCGAATTATCCACACTGAAAGTTATGTGAAATCCGAGAGATGTAGCAAGCTCATCAAATTCTGCATCGGAGTTTGGAGCTTCAGTGGTTACTGGGTCGTACTTTTTCCACATTGTTGGTTAGTGTTTTTTAATTCTAGTGTTAGAAAAGCATTTTTATAAGTATTTTATATCCTAAAAAAAATTATGTAAAATTTTACCAATTTTTTTTCAAATTTTTTTTATGCTTTTTGGAAGTGTCATAATAACTACTTGTTTTCTAAAAAAACGATTCTATGATAAATAAAAATAATCTCCTTATTAACAATATTATCCATTATTGGGTGGATTTTAATAATCACATAATTCTTTTCTTTTAAAGAAATGTGTCAGCGCCGTTTTGTTACCACACATCTGCAAATTAAGTTCTGAAATCCGCCTTTGAGGACCAACCAACAGAGACTAGTTTTGTAAGATGTACATTTGGTATACTCACCAAGCACAGTAGTTTACAGACGCCTGCTGCTGTAGTAGATGTAGTCTCTTCTGCCCTGTATTTTTCGCAATTATTTTTAAAAAAGATGCTTAACTTTTCATATTAGTACACGCTAGATGATGTGTTATTAAAATTGTCTCAAATTTTGCAATTTTGATCATTGCTCCTACTACTACTCTTCGTTTTCTATTAATTGTAATATCAAATACTAAATACTAAGAAAACTTGGAACTTGAGCATTTAAGGCTTGTACACCTTTGGCTACTTGTGGGAAGACACGTTTAGTCATCGCTTCTAATTTCACAGGCACGAGTATTAAGCCTGGCACTTGCAGTCCAAACAAATTATATGCGGACTATAAGCTAATTAAAAAGAAATTCGAATATTTCCTAAAACCACTGATGATGCGTACTGGGCAACACTCGAAACAGCTTTATATGGGCAGCCAAATTTCAATAAATTTACTATAATTTTTGTTGTTGCCCATTCATTTCTATTCGAACCCTTCTAACATTTAAATGGTTTCTTTTCGTCATAAGATGCATCACTTTCGGCAAAAAAAATTAACATTAATAACAATCATGGTTTGGATTTTTTGCGACTAATCTTAGAACAGCAACCACTGAGACTCTACGAGAAGAGTTGAATTTAACCATGGGAAGATGCCAATTATATTCGACAGTCTTAAATTGAAATTTTTTTAACTGCACCATATTCGTAGCAGAAGTTTTAAGGATTAAATACATATCAATAGTATCAATCAATTAATTCAACAGAGTAAAATATGTCATGTACTAAGAATCGTAAGTACTTCTGATCTTAACTGTACTTTGGTAAATTGACTATTAAAATGATTAATCTCAATCGGAAATATTTTCATATTACTAAAGAGGTTAAAAGAGAGTTTTGTTTAACAAAATTGATAATATCGAAACTATTTTCACAACTACTACATTCTGCTTCTTAAAGTGCATGCATTGAACTTTGTCAGATATAAAACCACTGGCAGACAAAATACCATCATTGGATCACCACAATTGATTTCGAAATTCAAATTATATGTAAATAATTAATAAATTCAATTTATATTTTATGGTGACACACTTTTTTAATAAAGCGAATTTTCCGATAAAAGGAAATGCTTCTCACCGCAACTTCTTCAATTTATTTGCTACGTGTGGCACGAGCTGTTGGTGATTACAAAAGAACATATGTATATGCCTAGGACACATCGACGTTATGTTTCCATTCTACTTAACTTTCAATTTAGATGTATTCTTACTAAGTATTCTAGCATTCTGGAAAAGTGGAGTAGTAACTAATATTCTACTATTCCGCTCCGTGTTCTCGTTTTATCATTCATTAAATTCATTTCCTTTTTGAATAGCTATTCGAACAAGTGATCTAATGAATTTACTCCGAAAATTTACTCAAAACTTTAATTTCAATTATTTCAATTTCCTTGCCATGAAGTCAGTTTGTCAGTCCTTTTAAAGGATGTTCATGAATTGGCACAAAGACCAACAGCCAGCATCACATATATATTTGCTAGCTTTAACGAGATTACCATATTTTGGCTCGATTAACCGATTTGTATTTTTATACAAGTGACTTTATTAAAGCTTTTATGATAAGAAATAAGAAATTTCCCAAATATTACTATAAAATGTTAACATTGACATCAAAAACAATTTCTGCACGTCAATTTGCATCTCTGTCAGCTTTACAACTCTGGCAGCTGTCAATAAAATCCAACAAAGGCAAGTCATGACACTTTTACCATAGCCTTCACACCACTCAAGTTTGAGTTTTGTCAGGGTGCAGCCAACAAACATCACCATCACCCAACACCCAACACTTGCACCATATTGACATTACGCCCATTAAACCACAACATACCGAACATGATTAAAACGAGTAGGAATTTTTGAGCTGACAGACTTTTAGGCACAACTTAATTTAAAGCTGAACATAATAATTATAATTTGCGATATTTTTAAAGTATCTGAAATAGAAAGTGACATGGTAGATTATGTTAAACAGCTACGAAATTATCAAGGACCAAATTCTAATAACGTCTTCTGTGCTTCAAATGTAGTACAGCGACATCTACTAGATAGTGAACGCCAAGAGAACCGATGAAGCTATTGAATGACTTTTTAATGAGTTACTTAATCTTGCATTCATCCGCTTGATTACAAGACTAAACTATGCTCCTTGCAACTTTGGTTCCATTTAAGCAATGGCTGCATTGCACTTGTAAGTATCAGGCGTAATTCTTCCAAAATGTTTGTGAAGTGAATATTTAGAAAGTTTTAATAGAATAATATTAATAGAAAAATTTACACCGTTTAATTGTAAAATAAAGAGATTAACCAAACAACTGCAAAAAATGTGAATATTGCAATAGCAATGATGGATAATTCTTTATTGAGTTTGAAGCGCAGCACTAAATATCTACAAATCCCACTTAATTCCGGCGTGAAACAATGAACCCAAACAAATCCCATTGAGTGAGCACAACATTTTACACATTATTGCGCGCCATAACACGAGAATTTTGGGCCAATGAATTACCGAAATTTTCGGAAAAAAAGAGACCTGAGTCCAACACAAGCGAACAGAATTTTCATGTGCAAATGTGCACACAAATATACGAACCCCTGGTCACACGTATACAAGCCCACATGGATGAATTAGAAATGTGCTAAAAAGGCTTAAGTTCACTGCGAGGAACAACAGCACCGACCAAATTCCCAGCACGCACAACACGTACACATGTTGCCGCATTAAACACCCGCAAAGCGTGCAAAGCGACGTAGTATCGCCCAACATATAATCGATGAGCACACAATTTCGTCTAGGGGCATTCGGGCATCGCGTTCCATCAGCTGCCAAACGAGTAGGTAGGAAGGAATACTTATGCAAAACATATGTAATAAAGAGGAATTTCCTTTCGTTTGCTGGATACGAAAGTGGACTGGATCCTTGTCCCTCTCCGCTCCACTTTATTTTCGGGCAGTGTTTTAATTGTTTTTAATTGTTACTTTTATTTATCAAATGAGAAATAATTTGCATAACAATTAAAAGCAGTATTTTGTTTGTCAGTCATCGCTGAAGGCACTTTGCCCATACTTTCTGCTCTCAATACAGAATGGTGGGTGTATTAATTGAAGTACTGGAATTCCTGCACATTATACAAATCCGAAAATAATAATTCACATTTTGAAAAGTATATCGCAAAAGAAATCTTACTTAAATTTATGTTAACTGTCAATACATTAGTTACAGAAAAAAACGATGAACAAAACTAATGTGCGATATAAAAAATTCAAAACGTTATCGACTACATCCATCCTATAATAACATTGAGAATATAATTCCGACAAACTAACCCTTAAAGAGAATAAATGGCGTTGTGAATTCTGGTTTGCTTTAAGATGGGAACATCTTCTTTTAACTAATTAAATTTGACGTATACTTTCACCTTGAGCTATAAGAAATTCACCGGGTTATGTATAATCTTTACGACAGAAACATAATTATATTTAGGATCGAATTTCGACAAACCTTAAAAGGAAATAGATTGCATTGGATCTTGATATTCATACGTAATAGCTTCAAGTTATGCTTGATCTTGAAAACGAAACAAGAATACGATCCGCACTCTATAAGTATTTGAACTTCAGGCAGTCCTTGCGTTTGTAATATAAAAGTTTATAGATTACATATATTCAATAATAACATTTAGAACCGATTAGCTTAATAGTAATTTTTTCTTTCAGCCTTAAGAAGGAAACGGACGTTAGCAGCTTATGTTATTAAACATTAGATAGTTTTAATGGACACTATATTACTGTAACAGCTTATATATGAGAGTCTATACCGGTGAGCATATAACAATCTATATAAAAAATTTACATACGGGCGTACAGGTAGCCATAAATGCAATAAAATTTGACGGAAATTCTTCTTGAAATGCACTCTACTAAAAAAAATATAATGACTCATTGAATATTGAAAGCAATTCAATATTGAAAATATTCCAGAGAAAAATTCGGGTTGATGACGACCACCGCATCCGAACGAACCACGAGTTATACGAACCTTATTAAGATGTTGAGATTATTCAGCGAACTAACATCCAGTGCTTTCACTGACTAGATCATATCGTAAGATTGAATAAGGTGATTAAAACAGCAGTTGATGGAAGAAAGTCAGATTTCTGGTAGAATGTTCTAGTTGAGAGATTACTTACCACACTTGTTGTATGAAAGAAAGTGTGGATGTAGTATAGGTACATAAAGATAAGTGTTGTGTTAGGACGAGTTCCGAAAACAAGGCTCTTAAGATTTATTTATTGCAATATGCGTGAAACCATGGAATCTTCACAAAGTCAAGAATGCAGAAAGGTGGCCAACATTCTTAAAGTAGACCAGAAGATAAAAATCTTATTGATACCTGAATTGAAAGTAGAAAATGAAATCTTCATAAAGACAGAAACTAGGTGAGTCAATTGAAATACAAATAGGAAGAAACTCACAAGCCGATCCTGAACGTAATCTTTTATAGTCTGAAATGCGTCTGTAAAGACCGAAGGATCTTAGAATGGTAGTTAGCAAACTACCTGATAGAAAAA